TCCTCTCTCACTTTATGTTAAATCCTCTATCAGGAATTTAGGTGTCACCTTTGACTCGAGTCTCACATTGGATGGGCATGTGAAATCTCTGGTTCGGTCTTGTTTTTATCATTTGAGAAATGTGGCTAGGCTAAGCCCGGTTTTATCTCGCTCTGAACTCGAGATTGCTATACATGCATTTATTTCGTCACGCTTGGATTATTGTAATTCGCTGTTTATGTGTCTAAGCAAAGGTTCTCTGGATCGTCTGCAGGTTGTGCAAAACGCTGCAGCTAGACTTTTGACAAAATCCTCCAAGTACTCACATCTGACACCGTTATTATCTCAGTTACAATGGCTTTCTGTTAAATTTAGAGTTGATTTTAAGATCCTGGTCTTGACCTACAGAGCTGTGCACGGACTGGCACCTGCCTACATCTTTGATCTGCTACAGCCTTATGTCCCTAGCAGGTCTTTGAGGTCATCTGATCAGGGCTTACTTGCTATAAAAAATACTAAGAGGAGGACTAAGGGGCATAGAGCTTTTGCCACTGTGGCCCCTAGACTGTGGAATTCTCTCCCCCAAGCATTAAGAACTGTGGACTCAGTAGCTGTTTTTAAAAAAACAACTCAAAACTCACCTTTTTAAAACTGCTTTTGGTTAATGTTTTGCCTGTTTTATTTTCTCTTTTTTAAATCTTTTTACGACTTGTAATCTTATGTGCAGCACTTTGTGACTCTGTCTTGAAAGGTGCTATATAAATAAAAATTTATTTATTTATTTTTTGGTAAAACTGTTCATTTCCTAAGTTTATCTGATGTGTTTTATGTTCTACTCTTAAACTATTGCAATGCAATTTGCAAATACATTTATTTTAACTTTTGATTGGACTATGATTACATCATTTTCAGAACTGGCATTGTATAACTCAACCCCATAGGCTGTATTCAGATTTAAAGTTGTGCGTAAATAAAGTGGTTAAAAAATTAGGTGCGTGCTATTCTTCTTGTTTAGACTTCAGTAGACTGAGTCAGCTCTTCGTGTTGTTTCATTCCTGTTATTTTCCTAGTGAATGTTGCTAATTGCTAATAAAGCTATTTAGTCAGCACTAGCCTTAGTCATAGACTGTAATTAAAACAGCCACCGTGATGTCAGCCCACTATATTTTTAAGCCTCATCAATAGGTATCAGACACCGCCATGTTGGTTCTTTGCAGCCAGAAGATATTAAATTTAGAAAAGAGAGCACAATGCCAGTCTGTTGCAGGGCTAACACAGAGAGACAGGCAGCCATTCACACTCCCTCTCACACCTGTGGGCAATTTGAAATCACCAATTAACCTAACCCTACCTATTGCACGTTTTTAGACTGTGGGAGGAAGCCAGAGGACCCAAACACAAACACAGGGAGAACGTGCAAAGTAATGAAAAAAAAGAACAGTGATTGCCTCCACAGTCACCTCATCTCAATCCAGAAGAGCACCTTTGGGATGTGGTGGAACAGGAAATTGGCATCGTGGCTGTGCTGCAGTTCTGAAGGCAAAAGGTAAACTATCCACAGAGACTAAGGCCTGGCTTTTTAACGCTGTTGTGCATTTTAATATGGGAGCCTCCGAGGATCAACTTTACGATCAAGCCTGTAGCTGCCATTTTCAGGTCTGGAAGTTGCTACTTGGCAATGGCTAACAACTTCCCATAGCCCTTTTGTCTAGATATTTGGTCATGCCTAATCTCACAGGGACCTAGATGGATATGGCTATCAACATTTTTTTTTTTTTTTAAATATTACAGTCTATAGTTCATTTCTATAGTTGTCTAAGGACAACTGTCTCTTAGACTTGTGCAGATTTTGAACAATCAACAAGGCAACAGGCAAGAATTCTGTTTTAAAGGCAAAACGTATTCACATCAAAGCATTTTTTAAAACTAACATGCCTGCACGAGATCTGTGAGGATTCACTGGCACGCATATAAAGCCTTCACATATCTGTTGGCCTTGAATTAAAAGTTTGTAAAACTAAAAAGTTCAGTGAATGTAGAATCTTTACAAAGCACATAATACTCGGGACAAGAAATGTTGAGTGTATAAAAAAAAATAAAAAAAACGAACAAAGCATGAACACTTTTTATAATAAACTTTCCACAGCTGTTATTCTTAGCAAAACCCAGTGACACTGTAGCATTGAAGGTAAGGACAAAGCCTCCCTCATGTCCCTCTTGTGGTCTTGTGAAGGCAACAATGTGAAAAGACTCCAAGAGTCTCCTGCAAGGTGGGATGTGTCATTATCGGACTGTATCATGGCTATTTATAGCACATATTTAACAATTTCCAGTGTACCCGTGGAAGGTGTGCAGTTACTGAAGATACATCCTTCCTCTCGTTCTCCTCCTCGTCGTTTATTTCTTAAAATATAGAAGAAAACATTTTTTGCCTTTATTTCCTCTGCTTTCTTTGTCACATCACATGCTGAGACAGCCGGCACCTCCTCCCCTATTCACAGACTCACGAGGCAGTGATGCTGAGACCAGTGGCCAGTCAGTACATTTACTGAATGTGTATGTGCATTGCTGGGAAGCCGTCCTTCATCACGTTTGCCATTTTTTTTGACACCCGCATTCAAAGGCAGAGCGCTAAAAGAGTGAGCAGAGAGTGAAAACAAGCGTGAGACAGAAAAAAGGGCAAAGGTGGTGCAAGATGGGGGGGGAAAAGAACCAAGAAGAAGTCACTACAGGAGAGTGGGAACACTTATAAAAGGCCACGTGAAAGCAGCAAGCGTTACAGTACCTTGCAAAAGTGTTGAGCCACCCATCATTTCTTTATCATATGCTCCAACACCACTGACTGAAATGCAACCCCAAACTGTTACAGAGCCCCCACTATGTTTTACAGATGGCACTCATGTTATACCTCTCCTGACACACGACCCATGGTTTGAACCAAAAGTTTAAAATCTGGATCTCTTTGAAATTTTTCATCACTCCATAAGACCTGTTGTTACAGTCCAGTTCTTGTGTAATTTGGCATACCTATATGCAAAGTCTTCATATAATAGTTCTTTGGGAATTGAAACCCAAACTGTTATCTTTGGTATTTGAATTATTTGATTTGAATGATGATGGCTTGAATGATGAAAGCAGTCAGGTGCATAGACTGACCTGAAAATGAGTGAATATGTAACCAAGGTCAAAAAGAGGACTTTAAAAGACCTTCTCAAAAAACGATAGTTCAAAACAACTTGTGGTACTGTCGTTTCTACCTGTACAAAGAGTGAAGTAAGTTTGCAATAAAAGCTCTGGCAGCCAATAGAAAAAGTGGAAAAGTAAAAAAAACAAAACAACCCAAAACTCAAATAACATTCTGTCACACTGTTACTTTGTTACTAAATACAATTTTATTGTAGAACTAACGTACACAATGATGATCTGATCTGAGCATTTCTGCAACATAAATTAGTGTGTGACTTTGTAAACTGGTGGCAAGGTTTGAAAAAACAAAAACAAATCAAATATCAAGCTATCACTGCTACGTTTTTCTGTACAGATCATTAACAACAAAAGAATACACAGTTTATTTAAATTAACCAGTGCACTCTTCAATACAGGACAAATGCCCCCTATTTTTAAATAATGCAAAAAAAATCTCAAAAGGCACTTTAAAAATGGTAAAGCTTAAACTGTTTAACAAAAGGAATGCAACACATCTGAGGAGGAGAAATTTCCAGGTTGCTGAAGAAATAAAAAAAAAAAACAAAAAAAAAAACCCCTCAAAGGAAAGACAAGGACATGAACGTGTCCTGACCTCACAGACTATAACGACTGGCTTGTAAGTGCCTGACTCTTTCAAACCCCTGAACTCCAGTCTGTGATGCAGTTTAATGTGTGCAGTTTTGAATGATAAATCTAACATTCAAAGTATTTCAATTTTGAATGACGCTTGTGGATCGCAAAAAATTAAAAAGACTTCTATAAAAAAAAAACCTTTCTTCAGTTCTAGTACAGGCCAAGCGGAGTTCTCATGCACTGTTATCTTTGTTTTTTTTACAGCCTTTACCATAGAAAACCCCCCACATCAATTTCAAATAGAACATTTTATTTTGCATTTGTTTGTAGTAGCAAACATGATTAATGACGACGAAACATCTTCAGCAGCTGATCGTGCTTCCCATTCACACTGGTAACAGAGATCCAGTCTGTATTATCCGTGTCTCACATATATCTGTTTTTGATGTATTCCCTGTACATCAACATGTCCTCTCTGCACAACGCCCTCACCTGGCCCTGACCGGTCATCACATGGCACTCAAATACCTCCTGGCTGTTTTTGCCCACCTGTGGAGGTAAAACTGCATAGATGCTGTCCTCTGGGAAACAGGACACTGGCTCTCTAAGAGAGAAGGAAAAGAAAAATGGGAGAGAAGCATGTGTGATTGGTGTATCACCATATACATTAACTTTAGGCAAATCACGTGGCTTAAGACAAGGCAAAAACAAGAGGTGAAAAGGAGTTTGTTTGAGCCAACAAAAGACTGTAAACTGCTGCTGAGAGGTGGAAACAACACGAGGAGGGTGAAGATGAGTGCTTTCACAGCAGTATTACTCATATTTTCCAAAAACTAGATTTTAAAGCATGTCTTACCATCTTCTGGGTGAATTATCAACTGCGTGCTTGTCAAGTCATCTATTCAGTTAGGCTTCCAACAACAGCTGAGGCCTGAGTGAGAGGCTGTTTAGACACATGGCTGCATTTCAAATGGCACCTGCCTCATGATGGGCTGTTTTCAAAGGCACAGCGGAGGCTCTCGGAAGCCTTGGGATAAATTATGAGCTGTGGAGGATGTTGTAGCCATAGAGTATATGGCTACAACCCCCCCCCCCCCAAGGCTGCTGTGTAAGAATCCTTAATTACACAGACTAGTCAGTAGTGCTGAAGGTAAAAAATATCTCTAGGCCAAGTTGAGAAAACAAATAGCATTTTTGTTTTGGGGCTTTTTATTGCAAAATGTGGAAAATGAAAACTACTGACTGATGCATTCATTCATCATAAACTGAGAAACCGCAATCCGTTACAATTCACTGTTTATTGCCCGTAAAATAACAAATATGACCGTGACCTTTAGGCGCAATCTGGGCGAAAAGCCCCGTGATGATTACTGTGTGTAAGTTTGATTAAAATCTGCCCAATGCAGCAGGAGGAGTGATTCCTGTGGCACAGATTCATCAGAACTTTGAGTGGATTTTACACACACACCTGAGACTTGCTGGAGAGATCTGACTCTAACAAGTCTCACTTGTTTCACAGCCTGCTACACAAAGAAACCGGTGCTGTTAGATGAGGTTAGAGGACAATATGTTTGATTGAAAATGAACTTCACAGTTTGCAGTGTGACTTAATACGACTATAAAGAGGTGGTGCTGGTGTTCAAATAAAGTTCTTATGAGATACTGATGTTGGCAGTTTAAATATGTGCATTTAATAATGAAAAGTGAAGCAATATTGATTACTGGTATATTTTTCCGATATTTTCCTTTTAAATTTGAGGGTTTTTTTTTTTTTATAAATTTGACTCCTTTATCCTCTTAAATTTGCTATTATTTCCTTGTAAAACTATCATCTTGAAAATATTATTTTAAACTTTCACTAGCCCTAATACATTGTCACATGAATAGTGCTGATATTAGTTAAACAAGCAAGAAATTTGATAAGTTGCGTGTACAGAGCTGGAAACATGGGTCACAATTTGGCTATTTTCAAACTTTAACAGTATCGACAAGATTTGTGAATTTTTATTAGAAGCAGACCTTTTTTTACCCATAAAAATTTATTTGACTTCTTTCTTTCTTGTTCACATAATATAAAGCAGAAGTATAATGTGTCTACAAACTCCTACAAACCATGTGAGCAACACTGAAAACATTTCAAGTAAATATGTTTGTGTTTTCAAATATTTCAAACTTCATCTTCTGGCCTGCTGAGCTTGCTATTACTGTATAAACTGTTTAATGTCAGTAATTTGTACATTACATTTGCCTTATTAGAAGACAACTTATTTTAGAGCATAGAAAAGCCTCAATTATACCTTCCACATGAGTCTGCTACAGTCCAAGTGATATAAATTTCATCATCAGCATGAAGGTCCATACAGATATCCACGTGCCAGCCTATTGTTTGTTTACACCACGTGGATTTGTCCGTGGAGGATTTACAGCGCACAAACGATGCATACACCTCAGGCGGCGAACTTGAAAGTAGTGTAAAAGGAATGATTACTCGGCCATTGAGCCCCCAGCTGTCCGTGTTCGAATTTGCAACGGAGTACAGTCAGGTCTTAAGGTCAAGACCTTCCAATACTGAAGACAGAAATCAAACAATCTTCCCATGAGCAACACTTGCCCTGGTGGTGCCGAAAAGTTCATTTTAATGGGTAGAAACCTTAGAAACCAGATTCATGGTTCATCTGTCCTAACCAGCTGGGGTGAGAGGAGAGCAGAGGAAGAAAAGAGGGCCATTAATCTCTACACCTCACTAATGTTTCTCAACAGGAATGGGCTACAGTATTCATTTCTTTTCCATTTTTATCTCCGTCACTTGAGTCATCTTTGGCTGAGCCTGATGGATCAATAGAGGAACATAGAGGGAGGTGACACTCTAAAAGGCTTCTAACGGTGACAACACGTTTGGGGTGCTGTAACATCTTAGAATAGCACTGTTGCACAACAACAGACACACCTGTAGCACCCTGCGGGCCTGACACGAGGATGACAACAATGGCTGGATGGACTACTGAAAGGCCAGAGAGAAAGACAACGTAGATGAAAAGGTTTGATTCCCTGCTGATGGAGATTTCCTAAAAGAAAATATTGATACTTCTGCCACTTTTGTAAGATAAATTACAAATTTTCTCCTGTTCTGTAAGAGGGGATACATACAAGAAACTTTCACATTTAAAAACAGTTCACACACCAAAGAAATACTAGAAACAAATCAGAGGCATGTCTTTCATCATCCTTGAATTTTCCTCCTCCAAGTTGATTACATGTCCCCACTGTGTCTTTGTCAGCCTCTGTCAGTCTTCCTCTAAGTGACCATTTCTTGTCCATATCCTCTTCAGTTCCACATGACCATCAAACTTAGTCGATCCGAATGGCAACAGATCTGGTTTTCTAGGAAATTACTGGCAATGATAACGAGTCGCATTCATGGTCTTCTTAGAAAACTGAAAGTGAATACCTTCCTCACCTCTCACCCATACATTCAAACATAACAAGGGAAAGAAAACTAATTCATGAAATTTCTATCCTACTTTTGCACTTTTTCATTCTGTAAAAAGTTATCATTTCTATAATGTCTGTTGAACAATACAACCACTACCAATTCCCTCTGATGTAGTCTCTAAGCCATTTTCCCTTCAGGAACATTTGCTTAATAATCAATGTGTCTCAAAGTGTTTTTTTATTTTCCTGAAGCGAGGTTTTACTACCTTTTTTTGCCGTTTTTTTACTACAACTGCAAGGAGCTCCCTCCACCTCCCTCTCTAATCTCACTGCAAACATCACAGTCGACAGAGACTCCTGCCTGACCTCATCTGCCAGGCTGTCCATGACCACTGCCAAGAGGGGTTCAGTGTCCTGCACCACAATTAAATATATCATCACATGCTTCCTCATACAGTACCATAGCTCTTCTCTTGGTATCCTATAAAATCCTTTCACATGCTTTCCAAAACGACACATTACAGCTCTTTCTGATCATCTCTGTACTTCTTCATCAAAACTTCTAAATATGTAAAATTTGAAATCTCTAAACTAAACCGTGTCTTAGAGCCAACTGCGAGTTAGTATGGATTCTGCCTGCCAATCGTCACAAATTAACAAGTCATATCTCGTTTGTATAATCCATAAAAACATCAATCTGTGATTTCTGCTTTGGGAGGCTTTGGATGCAGAACTAATGGAGATTTGTTATAGGTAAATTGTCTTACTATAAACAGAAAGACAATTTTTTAAAAGAGAAAACAGCAGCTGAAAGATGGGAATTTTCCATGTACAACATATATGAAATTGGGAAGGCGAGGGCGGGAGTTATTTATAGTTACTCTTGCCAGGACAAAAAAAATTAGTATTTACTTGATTCAAAATGAGTAAGTAATTTTAGGGGGTTGTAAAGTAATTTTAGGGGGGTTGTAAAGCTGTAGCTTTTCCACATGATTTGGTTTCTTTACACACAGGAAAAAATCCAAGTGAACTGCAAGCAAACCAAAATGTATCATTACAGAATATTCAGTCTGCTTATTGGGCATATATGTCTAGGGTGCGAGCAGTAAATACAGTAAGAAGGTGCTGTGTTCTGATCTACTGCAGAAAATGAAGAATTCCTGCTCATGTCACAGATGGTTGCTAATGGATACAGACCCCAGCACATCGATTGCGCCTTGTTGCATCCCAGAACACAAAGCACATGTAGCTACAGGAAGTTTTTTTTTAGCTCAAACTTGCAATGTATACCTGGTAGTAGGTTTGGAAAGGGGTCAAATCAAGTTCACAGAATCACAGACTGCTCTGGAGTTCATTTGGGACCACACAGGGGCCCCCTCCTCCAAAGGGTCTTAGTGTGGTTGTTTTGGCTCGCACTTACATGCGATTACAGTGTTCAAATCAGCACAAATGGACTGCACCAGAGTTAGATTTAAACAGACTAAAAACTGGAGGTGCGCAAGGACCATCAATAAGTTTAAATTTTCAAACAAGTTTTTTGCACTTTCACAAGAAGACAAAACCTAGCAGGTATGAATGTTGATATATAAGAAGCCATCATGTAAGAAAATCACAAGTGCATGTAGAGGAGGAATTTGTTTCTAAACTGATTTATGTGTTTGCACAGGTGTGTGTGCATGCATGCCTTACAGCTCAAAAGACAGCACGACAAAAACATCTTGTGCGTTTCCATGGCTGCACATTGCCATCACACGTGTGGTTGAACTTTGAATCTGGCTGAGGGATAAAAAAAAGGGGGGGAAAAAACCAAACAAACACCATCTACGGTAAAGAGTGGACTGTCTGGGAAATAGCGTGTATGCAAAGAAGTGAAGAAACATATGACAATTAAACAGTGCGCAGCTAGAAGCCTCGACTGAGACCACTTAGTAGTGCAATCCTTCTCCCAAGGCTAGTGAAAATGTTGAGTGCTTTATAAAAGGGGTCATTTATAACTGCAAACCAAGAATACAATACCATACATTACACGTGAGCCAGGTTTATTGAGTTTGAGTACATGTGGCTTTTTTCCCCTTTTTTTCTATTAATATGTTTTACTCACAGACAGATGATGTTTGCCGGGTTTATGTGTTCAGTTCTCTCCACTCTGTGCTGGCTCTCACCCAAGTGAGCAAACCTGCAGGAAAATACAAAACATAATACAGACAATGAATGATATTTCTGCAAAATAAGCCAGTAGTGTAGGTGTGCATTGCTTACAAATGCTTCTGCCCTCTTCATGGTGAGCGGAACGATCTAAATAACCCTAATCTGTAATAGGGTCGTTATGGCTCTACCGAATGCTTTCAATTTAAGGCTTCATACTGTCTTCAGTGTTCAACTTGTCTTCTGAGATCTCTAATATTTAGATCTCACCATCATCAAATCACAAATTTCCCTGTAGGTCATTTTTCTCTCACAAAGACTCAATAATATGCAACTGCTGAGAGTCCCCCTCTGGCTGTTGCTTATGATTTTTAATATTAATGCATTGATTAGCAGAGCACTGGCTGCAGCCACCATCTTTGGAGCAGTTTCAACTTCAATAATGAATGCAATTTCATTCTCATTATGTGCCACTGTAGTAGGAGAATATGAACAGCATTCTTCACCGCAATTTGAATTGCGTGTGTTTTTTAAGGTTTACTCCCCTGCTTTAGTCACCCAGTATAAATGTGACTGCCATCAAAGTGCGATGAGACAGAATACAGACCTAAGTCAGTGAAGATGTTAAAATAAATAAATGTTTTGGTAACAACTAAATGTCAGGACCATTTTATTTATTGTTACGTTAACTACCTAACTTATTAGAAATTGCTCATACATTCTCGACCAATGCCACATTTCTATGTAATGCATATGCTGTATTTTAAATGTATGCATCAGTTTCAGTGTTTTGGTGTGTGTGAGACTGATTCATGATGTTTATGACATTCAAATGTTTGATTTTTCCATGTCATTCTGATCTATTCAAGCTTTTTTTGTTTTCATTTCTACATTGCATTTCTCTATCCGGTCGTTAAGTCTGACGTCACTAGCCGTGTCTGGGCCTAAACGCCGCTGCAGGTCCATATATCAAACGATCACTATGGCATTACTGAGAGTTGAAAAACTGTCTGAAGTCTTTCATCTTTAATAAAATCATCAGCGTTCTGCTCTACCAGGTGTAACAATTGAGTTTAACATCCAGGCATCCATGAAAACGGAATTTATGAAATTTAACGGAGTTAGGAGTTAGCAGGAGGTTAGCTTGCTAGCTTCTATCTAAATACAATATAGCATGTCCTGACTGCGGGGCTTTGGAAACAAATTAAACGTACAGCTCTGTTATCACTTCCAACATAAATGAAGACAGAAAACTAAACAGCAGTGACGTTTGTAAGGTTACTGAAGTTGGGCTAGCTGGTATATAATGATGTGCTACATGACCGCTAGCGACACAGCTATGTTAGCATAATATAAACAAGCTAACTTTTTTTCCACTCGATAAAAGTTAACGTGAGTGTTCTCGGTGGTCAGGAACAAATGTAATCGCATGGCAGGATGCTGTAAAAGGACCAAACTTCAGCCAGGAGAACAAGTGAGATAATCCATCCACAATACGAGGTTAGTCATTCATATACTGCTGCATGGGCTGGGCTGTAGTTACATTCTAAGGTTTTAAAAACTGAGCTTAAATAAATGATTAGCGGTAATAAAAGCCGAGGGAGGTCAACAGTGATCACTGACTGTTTTAGGAGCTTTTTGAGATTAAATAGAAGAAAATACAAAACATTAAACATGTTAACAACACAAAAGCCATATTAAACGCAGACTACTTTAGGCCCGGAAGTAGGATTCGTCACGTCATCACTTAACGACCGGATAGAAGTGCTGAAAATTAAGTTAATCTGATTGGCAGTCAAGTCAAGTAAATTGTTTTTTTTGTGCTGCAAGTAGTTTCATCTACTTGGTGACAGAGTAAAAATAGGATGCCATGGGTTGTAGCTCAGAGGTCATCTACTGATTGCAAGGTTGGTTGTTTGTGAATGTTCAATAGAAAGGAGCATTGAAAAAAGTGCTTGGATGTGAGCTCACATAAACTCAAGAAGTTTGTCTTATCTTAAATTGAGGTTTTGCACAATGTTCCAAAAATCTTCCATTTTTTATCCAATGGGTTCCAGGTCAGGTGTCAGGTGCCCATTGGTATTTTATGGTCTTCAGCAGTTCTTGCAATGCCTTGAAGTGTGTTTGAGGTCTGCAGTCACATGGTCTTTTCGAAACTATAATGTGCACTTACTCTATAAACAGCAAAGATTCTCTTAAAAGAATACCTATCCACAATCTACAGTTCTACTGCAGTCATCCTCTTTGGATTTAGGACAGCAGTGTGAGGGGGAAAAAGCTATCAAAGCTTCATCCAATGATCATTCTGTATCAAACGTGCTGTAAGCTTCCAAAGAACAGACAGACAGTTGTGTTCCGATTCAAAGCCTGCTGATGGCTATTCACTGTGTCCTAAATCAGTGTTGGCAGCAAACAGGGAGAAAGTACAAAATGAAATAGAAAGGACTTGCAGAAAAGAGAAGGAAGGGAAAGGTGGAGAAAGAATAGTGAGGTCAGAGGCGTGATAAACCCGCCTGGTTGATGCCTGTTTTCAGGATGACCCATATCACCCTGAGGGGGTGGCTGCCTGTTCTGCCCCTGTGTCTTGAACACTGCGTTGTTCTGACTGATAATATTAAGTGCCTCATTCAGGATAAAGTAGACTTCATAGATTTTACTACTTTTATTGAGCAGCATCCGCAGGTGAAAATATCAGATTGTCCAATACTTTGACATTTGACCTGAATGTCTGTCGTTGACGCTAAAATAGTAAATTAGGAAGCTAAACCTTTTCACTTTAACATTCCAGCAGTGCCTAGTCATCTTATGACTAGAATAAAACTAGGACAGCAACCTTCTTGCAACCAGAGCTGTTGAATGGAAGACTCCGTTCACTTCAATGGACCATTTTTTCATTTTTATAGCAATGGCGGATCATGGTCGTTCTGAAAGGTAGCAAGAATTGCTAGCCGTGGCATAGAGCTATAAAAGAACAGAAGTTTGAGATGCATTTCTAAAAGGTAGGAAGTTAAAAAAGAAAAACTATTTGAAGGCCATATGACCCACGTGACGACCCCAAACCCTTCAATCGGGCACTGATTGTAGTATCAGTAACTAAAGTTTGAGGGTTTGAATCATGATTTTATGATTAAACACGTCCCCTAATGGGACACAATCTGTCTCCAAACAATCACAGCCCAGCTTGACTGACTGCAGTCGCTCTCAGATTATCAAAGATTTGCAAATAATTGTTGTTTAATATATACACACAGATTATCACCATGGTACAACCCATCTGAGGTAGTATGTGCTGATGTTGGCTACTAGTCTCTTTGCAATGTGGGAACTGACTCAACTGCTTATATTCCTAAATGAAAGCAGGGCTGCCGAGCACATAAGTCTTTTTACAGTTAAATCGCCATCCTACAGCAACTACATCACTATTTGTTGAGGAATTCAGTAACTCGCAGACTGCAGATGCAAACATGACCCCTTTCACTTGCAAACTGATAGCAGAATGACAGAATAGTCTCTCTGTCTTATTGGCATTTTATTGCTGTCTTGATGCACCAAAACTTTGAAGAAAAAAAAAACATTTCAGAGGCAAAGAGACTCCAAATAGCAATAATTGTATCTACAACCACAGTTTTTCTTAGTGTGACTGAAGCATTAATGGACTAATGGAAACATTTTCATTTCATTATGCAGTCCAGATTTGCAGCTCAATCTTTTAATATAAACATTAGCCTCCTAAGACCCAAACTCTTTCATGGCATGCATTTTAAATTTTTCTTGGCCATTTGAGTTGATTGGGACCTGATGAATGTAAAAACAAAGAATTACCAGATTTTTTTTAACCTAATTTTTGTTTCTGAGACAAATGAGATCCACGTATGGTTTTAACAGTGGCAGTATAATGTCCTCGTAAGTGGATATCAGGCCCTTGTAGAGAAAAATTTACTATTTTCGTCTAGACATCCCAAAATGTGATGTCCACACATGTGGACGCCAGGTCCTGGGAGGTTAAATGAAATTAACAGGTGGGCAGTAAACATTAGTGCCACAAAAATCAATTCACCCCCTTCCAAATAAAAATCTGAAATGTGGTCACAATTTCTTTCTTGAGAAACTGCAAGACAATTAATTTTGGCTTACTAGCTATGTGCAAAAGTTTTATTATAAATATTATTTCTAATATTTATCTTATAAATATACAATTTCTTTGGAAGTCACATATTTTGACCACCAAAATTGAATCTGTTCCCCTCAACTCTAAGTGACAATGTAATGTAATTTTCTCCTTGTATTCCTGTCATGTCCAGTTTACAAGACTGGCACTTCACAATAATATTCCTGACGCAATCTTTCCAGTTCGACGACACCACTACACTACAGTCCAAAAGGACACACTTGTTCAGTGTGAAAAAGTGCATTCTCATCAGCTCCAAATACTCAGCGCCTTGATGCACCTGCAGTGGGAGTATTTGGATGTGTGCTGGTGCCTTTGTCTTATTTTCATTTGCATTGTTTTTTTGTTTTCACTGTCATTACGAGGTTAGGTTCAGGCAATGAGGATGTAAAGTTTTTCACTGGGAGTGACGGGATGGACGAGATCAGATATGAGTACGTCACAGAGACAGTTCAGGTTGAGCAGTTTGGTAACAAAATTAGAGAGAAAAGGCTGAGATGGTCAGACATGTGCAGAGGAGGGATAGCAGATATAGTGTACAAAGGATGTTGAAGATGGAGCTGCCAAGCGGTAGAAAAAGAGGAAAAACCTCAGATGTTGCAAAAGAGGACACACAGAGGGTGTGACAGAGGAGGATGCTAGAGATGGGGTGAGGATAAAGGAAGATGATCCACTGTGGCAACCGCTAAAGGAAGCAGTCAAAAGAAGGAAGAGGTGATTGAGTTCAGGCAACGAAGCTATTTTGTATAGCAAAAGGGCTTTGAGTGGGAAAAATAAAGATTACCCAGTTTGCTTAAATGTTATGTCAACAGATTCTTTGATGGATGGATGGCCATCTTTAAATTTAAAGTAATATTGCTGAGATTGCGTGAGTGAAATTGTGGGCCAGTATCTGTGATATGATGACTACTGAATATATGTTATTACATATTGTTATAGTTTTCATCCCTTGTATGTAATTAGTAGCTCAGATTTACCTTTGGTAAATGAGTAGGTCATCTTCAGAGGGAAACTCAGCCAGATTGAGTCCATAAGGCTCCTTTGCCATATGCTGGTGATAAACCTCCTGAAAATGTGAAGAGAGACACAAAAACATACTTACGCATGTGGACAAGATAGAAAAAATATTTAAAAAACTGTTTTCATAAATGTTTAATCATGGCTTTTAAATGACCGCAAAAGAAAAAAAAAAAAAGTCGACTTATAACTATAAAACCATACAGACAAGGTCATCAGGTTCAGCTGCTTCTCCCCAACAGATTCAGTAATTAGGATGGCGCAAGGAGGTAAATCTTAGCAACTTCAAAAGTAATTTGATTGTTGGTGTCTGGTAAGGTGCTTTCATGTTCTTTCGTAGTTGGGACATGCCCTCCTGGGGATCTGTCACACAGTGTTCAGTGTCTGTTGGGATATAATAATCATAATAAACAGGAGATCATAATAAAAAGGTCAAACTGGTTCAAGCTGACTGATCGGAGCAGAATTAAACTGTGAGGCAACGGGGCATTTCAAATGTGACACTTAATTTAAAAAAAACTAAACAGAAACTTTAATTTAGAGAGAACTGTAATCCTTCAAATACAATTATAAACACTCATTAATTTATTGTAGTCTGTAGTCTTTTCTTTACAATATAACACATATTAAGATTATCATTGCTATCAAGTGGGGCTGTGTAAATATAAAAACAATAAAATTGTAACAGAGTACCCTCCATTAACAGGCAATGCTCGAGCTAATTTATTTTATTGAAGAAATTGAAAATTGCCAAAGGAATCAAAAGGAAGGTGAAACAGCTGAAATGGTAGATGCTGCAGAATTGTGCAACACGTTTTAATCTTGATAAATAAATGATTAAAAAGTGGAAAACACAAAACATATCCTGTAAAACATCTTTGTTCTCAAAATTTGAGTTCCAATCCAACATCTGCTAGTTTTAGACCAGATTAGCATGTCAATATTTTAACAAGATTTAGCAGATATATCTGTATAACCTTCCTGATTATTCAAAATGTCCTATAAAAAAGCATTTTCTAGGCAAAATATGATTTGTGGGGGTGTTTTGTTACATTTTACTCTGCCTATAGTCTCTACAGAAAAGGTAAAAGCCTGTTATGTAACAGCATATACAGGATTTGCATGAACGCAGTCCGTTCTCACTTTTCTGACATTGCAGTAATATGTGCAACATAAAGCTTTCAATTTTCCCAGTAACTGTATTGATCTGAGCTGCAGGGAGGGGAGAATTACGCAGGGTGTTACCAGAACCATGTCCAGGAAAACAGCAGCTGTGAACACACACAAGATCACAATAATACACAGAGCCCTGTTCAAAGACTACACGGGGATTCGCAAAACACTAACTGCACCATACACACCTACGTGCAGCACACAGGCGAGGGTGTTGTGCAGGTGCATATCTGCTTGTACAGCAACACACAGCAAATCTACCGAGCACATGCACGCTCAAATCGAGGTGGAATACCAAATGAGCATGTGTAATTACATGGTAAACGTAGTAATGATCCGATGTTTAAATATTTCAACAGTTGTGTGTTGTGCTGGCACCCTGGCAATCCATTCTCGGGGACAGGCTTGCAGGCAGCGACACGAGATGCACGAGAGTGACTGCGTGCGCCCAACACGTGAGCAAGCTGTCCGGCCCAAAATATTCATGACCAGCTCATTGCTCATGGCCACGAGAAGACAGGCAGGAAACCCAAGGAAAATACATCATAAATCAGGAGGAGAAATAGATGGATGGAGAAAGAGGGAGTGCCTCTGCTTTCAACTCTGAAGACCAAATGCCTTCAAGATATTTCTCCTTCTCGGTGCCACTGCCCAGATAAATCAAGCAAAGGTGCTTTTTCTTTTTGTTGTTAGAACAATGTTGTAGATTCAAAGCTTTGTGCTGCACAAATAGGACAATTACATGAAAAAATGTAATGAGACTACCGATGAGACCTCAAGGACAGCTGGGACTTTCTACAAGAGCAGTCTAAGGTGCCAAGACCTTTA